CCATCATCCTTGCCCTGCCTGGATCTTCAACTCTGTACCAGAGCCTTCCCATCAACATTTAATCGTGATCTAAGGTCTCCCACAAAAAAAACAAAAACAAAAAAATACAACCAAAAAACCAGAACAGCCCTTCCTTGATCCCACCTCCCCTCCACTTATTTCTTCTCCTTCACAGCCAAAGTTCTCAAAATAATTATTTACACTGACTGACTCCATTTCCCCACCTCCTACTCACTCCTCAACCCACTCCAATCTGGCTTCCACACTCGTCTTTCCACAGAAATGGCTGTTCTTCAAATGCCTTCCATGTTTCTGAATACAGCAGGTCTCTCTCAGTCCTCGCCACGCTTGACCTCTCGGCAACTCTGACTCTCCCGGCCACTCGATCCTCCTGGAAACACTGCATCCCTGAGCTTCCGCAGAGCCACGTTCTTCTCCTGACTCCCTCCCTTGCTTCATCCTCCTCCACCCAGGCTCTGAGTCCTGGAACCCCTCAAGGCTTGGGTCTCTTCTCACTCTATACCTAGAGGCTTTATGCTATTTTTGTACCACACACCCCTTCGCATGGTGAACTCTCTAGATCCTCTATTCAGAATATCTTCAAACGTATAAAGTAAGATACATAGGATTTCAAAGGAAGCCACTTTTGTTGAAATAGTCATCAAAATATTTTTAGAAAGCTGTGATTCAGTAATATATGTGCTTCTTTATTAACACATTAAATAACAAGTGATGGGCGTAAAGGGTATTTTGAGACATCTGCAACAAATTTAATGAAATGTGAAAATATCTGTGATTTCTATTGGTGACAAAATCGTGGGTACTGCTAATACTACTGTGTTTTGTTGCCTGTATTCGTAAATGAAAGATAAGCCTAGATTTCAGTTAGAGGTTGGTGGAAATAAAGATATAATCTTTTTTTCCCATCCAAGTTCGTGCCCCATCTCCAAGAAGCCCTGCCCTATATATTTTCTTTAGGTTAGTTCATCAAGATTTTAACTGCCAAAATCAAGATGCTATCTGCCAATGACTCCCAAGTTTATATTTCCAACCCAAACCTCACTTTTGATATCCAGATCTGAGTATCCAATTGTTTATGCAATAATCTCTGCTTGGAGGTCTCAAAAACACCTCAAACTCAACAGGCCCACTGCTCAAGTTCCCAACCTGGCCCTTCATTCTTTCTTTTGTGGGTATCATCAGGACTTGATGCTTTCCTCTTCACCCTCATAATCAGTGCATCACCAAGTCCTATCAATTTTACTTCCCCAGCATCTTTTTAATCCATCTCTGTGTTCTTCTCTGCTGTTCCCTGGCTAAGTTACTACAGAGGCCTTCTAACAAGACTCCACGCTTCTACTCCTGCCTTCAAATCCCACTTTACTTACTACAGGTAGACTGATATTGACAAATGGAACTCAGATCACTTTACTTGCCTGCTTAAACCCCTTTCTTGGCTTTCTGTGGTTTTTAGAAAGGGGACCAAAATCCATGATATATAGCCAACCAGACCTTGCAAGATCTGGTCCTCGGTACTGCTCTGTGCTTCATCCACACTAGCTTTGGGTCCTTTTACATGCCAGGCCACCGCCTGCTAGAGAGTATTTGCACATGCTGTTCCTACTCCTTGCAACTCTCACCCCACCTTCCTACCTTCTACCAGATCTCAGCCCAGTCACTTCCTCAGGGAGGTTTTCCCCAACTGCTCCCTCCCCTTACTATATCCGGACCCCCCTGCCCTAGTCTTATTATGGCTATCTATATATTTCCTTTTTTTTAAAAAAAAGTATGACTTGTAATTTTACATTTAATAATTATTTGATTAAATTATCTACCTCCCCACCTGTACTAGCTCTGTAAGGGCAGTCTTTGTTTTCTCATCATCCCCATATTCCAATACATGTAGTTACATTTTTGCAATTTTGATTGTTCATATAATCCTCAGTTTTTGTTCTAGAGGTAAAAATTACTGACAATGAATCGTACAAATTTTAAGAGTAATATTGAATGATTTTTGGCAAATATGTGTAACCATTTAACTCAAACCCCGATCGAGTATCCATCATTCCAGAAAGTCCCCTCACGCCCCTTCGCAGTCATTTCCTACCTGTGTCCCTCTCAGAGGCAACCACTGTTCTGAGTGTTTTCACCATAAATTAATTTTGCCTCTTCTTGTTCCATTTTTAAGAGACTGTTTGAGTTCAACTTTCTAAGTCATCTCAGATCCTTTTTATAAATAGATGGAACATACATTCTAAATAGATTAGACAAATGAATCTTTGTAATAATTAAATTAAAATCACATACAAGTTAAAATTAAAATTATAATCTTTTCCCAAAATGACAGACTTTTTAAAAGATAAAAATTGGAAATGTAGAAACTGGCATTCTTTTATACATCTAGAAATGTAAATTGGTACAATATTTTTGGAGGACGATTTGGAAACAAAAAATTTTTAATTTTTGTGATGCTTTCAATCTAGTAATATAAGTTCCCACTTTTGGGATCTTAAAGAACTAAAGATGCTCATAAATACATAATGATATTCATCATAGCACTATTTATCATAGCCATGTCTTCAGGTGGGATTAAGCAGAAATGGAGTTAAGCAGCAGTTTGATTCAGGCAGGTGGGACCTGAATAATAAAAAAAAAAGGTTACTGATCCCTGTTCTTTTTTATTGTTCAAGTTTACGGTTCTGACGAGCTCAAAATTGTCCTGCACATGTGAAGGACTTTGCTGCTCTTAGAGGTTTTTTTTAGATGAGAGAAAGTTTAGCCTGCTTTGTGCTACAACAGCACTCTGTATAGAACATAACTTTATATTTCTTGAACACATAAAGGTATCCATCCTACCCAGAATGCTATATATACAAGCCGCCCTCGATTCCTCAAGGCAGTTTTTTGTTTGTTTGTTTGTTTGCTTGAGGCACAGTTTGAATGTGGACTTTGGGGACAGTACTCTGAAAATATTCATTTGCATCCAGGTCCCTTGGTCATCCTTCCCTTGTTGTTACTGTTTGAGTGTCGAGGTTCACAGCCTTGATCATTCTCTCTCTTAATCTCATGAGACTACATTTATTTCAAATATAATAAACACACAGTCTTTCTCTGGCACCAGCCTGACACTATTCTTTGCCTCTTCTCTCTTATTCACAACAAGTCATGCTCTGATCTACACTATGTCATGAGTTCCACTCAGCTCAGCCTTCCATCACATGACACATAGCAAAAATGGGCTTTGTACACATCAATCTGAATTCAGTAGCACACCCTGGGAGAGTGAGGGTGGCATGCTAGTTGAGAACCAGTTTCCTGGGTCTTGGAAATGAGCCATCAGGCAAGAGTTGGAGAATGACTTTGTCTTTTCTGGCCCTGGCTGCTTTAGTCCCCTTGCTCTTCTGATCATCTCTGTTCATTGTCACCTTGCCATTTCAGACTCAACACTATTAGGTCCCAGTTTAAAAATCTAGTCATTCTCACATCCCTGAGGAAATGCATCCCACTTCACAATCCTGGCTCTCCATCTTCCAGGAGGTCTAACTAGGACCACTATAATGTTACTAAGTCATTACTGCAGTGCCCAGTGCCACTTACATTCCCTAATGTAAGTCCTTTCTTTTCCCAGTGGGAGTCCTTCTCTGAACTTTTGAGAGAGCCTAGCCTTGCACAAGACTATATCTCTACTTTAGTATGGATGATGCCAGAAGCACAAGGTGGAGATCTTTAGAAAATGTTAACCACAAAAATAATATTCCAGAAAATATTGATTTTGAAAATAACTTCATGTAGTTAACATGGCTTTATTAGGACTTTCTCATCATATTATTAACAGGGAAGTTAACAGTCTACACCTGTATCATGTAATTTTGGGATGTATGTATGTATTTATTTATTTACTTATTTACTTATTTATTTTATGTTTTAGGCTTTGATTTTGAAAAAGAGATCTGGTTTTCTTCCCCCAAAGGAATAGCAATGTGCTATCGCCTCCACCTCCATGTGACATTTTAACTTAGGAACACATGGGGGAAGAAATAAAAATCGTAATTACTGTTCAAAATTACAAGAAAAAAAACACATACTTTTGAAATCAACTTTAAATCAAATAATTTCATTATTATTGTTTGAGAATCTTTAAATGTTAAATATTTGCCATTAGAGTTTTACTGTCTGAAAGAGAAATTGTACCATATTTTCTGAAGAGTAGATCAATTTCAACTGCTATTTATAAGATTATCATAAATTTATAGCCTTCAGAAAAAAACACAAGAGTCCAGTAAAGGAACTGACTGGCCTCTCTGTTCATCTGTTGAATAGGTATAAACCCAGTAGAATTTTTCACAGGGGCTTTTGGTTTTCATTTCAACAGTGGGTGGTTACCGTTCCGTAGTTAGCTAGTTAATTTTTAAAATGGCTGAAAAGGGGTTTCAGTGAAAATGGTGGAGTGAGTAAACACTGTGCTTGCTTCCTCCCATGACCATATTAAAATTACAACTAAATTATAGAACAACCAACGTGAATAAAGAAGAAACAGAAAATCTGAACAGATTGATTACTAACAAAGTCCAGTCAGTAATCAAAAAACTCCAAACAAACGCCCTGGTTTAGATGGCTTCATAGGTGAATTTTAGAAAACATTCAAAGAAGAATTAACACCTATCCTTCTCAAACTATTCCAAAAATATTCAAAAGGGAAGCCTTCCAACCTCATTTTTTGAGGCCACCATTACCCCGAATCCAAAGCCAGAAAAAGACACTACAAAAAAAGAATATGATAGGCCAACACCCCTAATGAACATTGATGCAAAACTCCTGAACAAAACATGAATATACTGAATTCAGCAATACATTAAAAAGATCATACACGCCCTTTCTTCAGCTGTCGGTAAGGTGCTTGGTCCTTCCAAGGAAGCTAAGGCTGCATTGGGGTGAGGCTCTCACTTCATCCAGAGACTAGCACCGTGCCCAGCAGCGCCCACTAGGCACTCACCTGCACCATGGCCTCCATCTCGGAACTTGCCTGCATCTACTCGGCCCTCATCCTGCACGATGATGAGGTGACAGTCCTGGAGGATAAGATTAATGCCCTCATTAAAGCAGCTGGTGTAAATGTTGAACCTTTCTGGCCAGGCTTGTTTGCAAAGGCTTTGGTCAATGTTAACATCGGGAGCCTCATCTGCAATGTAGAGGCTGATGGACCTGCCTCAGCAGCTGGTGCTGCACCAGCAGGAGGTCCTGTCCCCTCCACCATTGCTGTCCCAGCTGAGAAGAAAGTGGAAGCAAAGAAAAAAGAGTCTGAGGAGTCTAATGATTGCATGGGCTTTGTTTTTTTGTGTTTTTTTTTGTTTTACTAAACCTCTTTTGTGACATGTTCAACAAAAAGCGGAACTCTGAAAAAAAAAGATCATACACCATGGTCAAGTGGGATTTATTCCTGGGATGCAAGGTTGGTTCAACATCCGCAAATCAATTACTGTGATATATCACATAAACAAAATTAAAGATAAAAATCATATCATACATATCAACAGATGCAGAAAAAGCATTTGACAAAATCCAGTATTTATTTATGATAAAAACTCTTAGCAAAGTGAGAATAGAGGAAATATCCCTCAATATAATAAAAGCCATTATGACAAACCTACAGCTAACATCATACTCAGTAGTGAAAAGCTAAAAGTGTTTTTGTTAAGATCAGAAACAAGACAAGGATATCCACTTTGACCACTTTTATTCAACATAGTATTGGAAGTCCTAGCCACAGCAATCAGACAAGAAAAAGAAGTAAAAGGCATCCAAATTGGAAAGAAAGAAATAAACTCTCATTATTTGCAGATGACATGATACTATATAGAGAACCCTAAAATTCCAAAAAAACTATTAGAAGAGATAAATTCAGTAAAGTAGCAGGATACAAAATTTATATTCAGAAATCAGTTCCATTTCTATACACCAATAACAAATTATTAGAAAGAGAAATTAAGAAAACAATCCCATTTACAATTGCATCAAAAAAATACCTAGGAATAAATTTAACCAAAGAAGTAACAGGCTTGTACTCTGAAAATTATAAGACATTAAAGAATTGAAGAAGATACAAATAAATAGAAGCATATATTGTGCTCATAGAGAAGAATAATTAACATAATTAAAATGTCCATGTTACCCAAAGCAATCTAAAGATTCAATGTAATCCCTATCAAAACACCAGTAGTACTTTTCACAGAACTAGAACAAATAATCCTAAAATTTATATGGAACCATAAAAGTCCCCGAATAACCACAGCAATCTGGAGAAAGAAGAACAAAGTTGGAGGATCACAATACCTGATACAAAAGACTACAAGGCTATAGTAATCAAAATACTATGGTACTGGCATAAAAACAGACACAGATCAATGGAACAGAATAGAGAACCCAGAAATAAACCCACACCTAGATGGTCAATTAATCTATGGCAAAGAAGGCAAAAATATACAATGGGGTAAAGACAGTCTAGTCAATAAATGGTTCTGGGAAAACTGGACAGATACATGCAAAAAAATGAAACTAAACCATCTTCTTACATTATATACAAGAATAAACTCAAAATGGATTAAAGACTTAAATGTAAGACCCCAAACCATAAAACTCCTAGAAAACATAGGCAGTAAACTCTCAGACATTGATCTTAGTAATATTTTTTTGGATATGTCACCTTGGGCAAGGGAAACAAAAGAAAAAATAAACAAATGGGACTACATTAAACTAAAAAGTTTTTGCACAACAAAGGAAACACAAAACAGAAAGCCAACCACTGAATTGGAGAAGATTTTCGCCAATGATATATCTGATAAGGAGTTAATATACAAAATTTATAAAGAATGCATGCACTTCACACCAAAAAAAAATGTATAATCCAATTAAAAAGTGGGCAGAGGACCTGACTAGACATTTCTCCAAAGAGGACATATAGGTGGCCAGTAGACATGAAAAGATGCTTAGCATCACTAAACATCAGTGAAATGCAAATTAAAACCACAGTGAGATATCATCTCACACCTGTCAGAATATCATCAATAAATATCATCAATAAATCAATAAACAAGTGCTGGCCAGGATGTGGAGAAAAGAGAACCCTCAGGTACTGTTGGTAGGATTACAAACTGGTGCAGCCATTATGGAAAACAGTATAGAGGTTCCTCAAAAAGTTAAAAATAGAACTGCTTTACGACCCAGCAATTCCATTTCTGGGTAGTTATCCAAAGAAATCCAAGACACTAATTCAAAACAATATATGCACCCCTATGTTCTTTGCAGCATCATTTACAATAACCAAGATATGGAAGCAACCTATGTTCATCAATAGACGAATGGATAAAGAAGTGGTACATATATACAAAAGACTATTACTGGGCTATAAAAAAATGAAATCTTACCATTTGCAACAACATGCATAGGCCTGGAAGGTATTATGCTAGCTGGAATAAGTCAGACAGAGAAAGACAAATACCATATGATCTCACTTATATATGGAATCAAAATTAATGAGCAAACAAAATATAAACAGACTCATAGATGCAGGGAACAAGCTGATGGTTGCCAGATGGGAGGGAGGTTGAGGGCAGGGTGCAAAAAGGTGAAGGGATTAAGAAATACACATTGGTAGTTACATAATAGACATGGGGATGTAAAGTACAGCATAGGGAATATAGTCAATAATATGGTAATAACTATGTATAGTGCCAGGTGGGTAGTAGACTAGTCAGGGGGATCACTTCGTAAATTATATAAATGTCTAACCGCTATGCTGTCTGTACACCTGAAACTAATATAAAATAATATTGAATGTCAACTGTAATTGAACATTTTTAAAAGGGAGAGAAAGGTGAAGGGGAATAAGAGGTTCAAATTTCCAGGTATAAAACAAATAAGTCATGGAGATGTAATGTACAGCATGGGGAATATAGTCAATAATATTGTGATAGCATGGTATGGTGTTACATGGTTGCTGGACTTATCATGGTGATCACTTCTTTAGGTATATAAATGTTGAATAACTATTCAGGTATACACCTGAAACTAATATAATATTGTATGTTAGCTATAGCTTAATAAAAATCTTTTTTTTAAATGGCTGAACATTAATTAATGGCTAACTGCAAAAGCCAACACTTACATGGCATGTACTGTGGGCCTGGTACTGTTCTAAGCGCTATAAACATAACTCATTTAATCCTCAGAGAACCACCAACAGGTGGATACTATTATTGTTCACAGATGAGAATATCTGAGACACAGAGAGAAGAACTAGCCCCATGTCACACAATAACAACATGAAAGAACCAGGAAGCTGGGCTCTGGGTCTTAAATATGACACTTTAGCGCCAGAATAAGTTACTACAACTGCTCCCAAGGATCCACCTCCCCAGAAAATATGACTGGTTTTCATGAGAGAGGATAGATGAGAATGGCTGAGTACAGAAGAAGACATGAAAAAGATACAAAAAGTTCAAGTGATTTGCTTAAGATTCCTCAATGAAGCAAGCAGGAAAATATCCAGTAGCTTATTCATATGTATTTTAGCTCTTGCCATTTTGGCTTTAGTTTTCAACTGACAAAACGCCCACTTCCAGCTGCAATTTCTGGACTCTTAAGAATGACTACCAACTGGAAGTAAGGTTGATGGAACCAGGAACCAGAGAAGGATATACTCGGAACATAGGTGCACGATTCCATATGAAACAGACCAAGCTCTCTTTCAGTTCTTTGGTGCTACTAAAGGCTCAAGGAAAAATGGATGGGTGAAGGAAGGATAACAGTGGCTTAACACCCCATCTAGTAAAGAATCTCTTCACCAACTCCGCCCAACTCACCACTGCCTGGGCAAGCAAAGAATGTGAGTAGCTTGTGGAGGAAATTCTGTCTCATGCTCACTGATGTTCTTCTTGCCTATGACAATCTTAGGCATCATAATTAAAATGTGCCCACATTTCCCTTTCTGAGAATGGAGAGCCTATTTCGCGTTCAGCAATGACCTAATGTTTCATCTTTGACATTTCAGAATAATTTTCGAGGATTTCTATTAAATTTCAGGATCGAAAGGGGAAAAGAGGGAACAACCAATTCATTATGCCCTTTCCTTTTCCTGTCCCTTTATCTGAGGGTGGTCTGTTTTCTGAAAATGTAGGGAGAAACAATAATTATTTGTTGGAAGGCTGCATCCAGACCCTAAATTACAAAATATAAGATTTATAGTCTTGGAGGATGACGACCTGTCCACCTGTAGATTTCATCTTCTTTAGAGAAGATAGACGAGCAGGGGGCTTTTTTTAGAGTTTACAGTGCACCCCATAATTCAAAGCTATTTGGAGTATTTTCCTGAGTCAGGAGCCTTGAAATGAAAATGCCAAAACTGTCAGTGAGAACGATGAGCAAGATCAATACAAATTGCCACAGTTGGGGAGGTTGGGGGGTGGGGTGGGGGTGGGCATTCATTTAGCATTCTGTGCCTACAAAAAACACTGCATTTTCAGAGGGCTTTTTAATACTGGATTACAATGCACAATGTAGGAGAATTTAGTATCAGTGTTAGGAGAATCCCCGGGGTAAGTGTGGGGGGCAACCTTGTGGTTTTGTTTGTTGCTGAGTGTATCACCTAGCAAATCATACTAACACCAGGACCTAAACCATAAGGCAGGACTTAAATCACCCTTCAAGACCAGGTTTCTCAGATGCCATTTATATTGTTTTCATCATTTCTTTGGTGGATGGAAGTGTGGCAAAGTAGAAAAACTGTCAAATGCCTGGATAATTTTTATTGCGTCTGCAAGGCTGTGTTGAGATATCCGGACACTGCAGGAATCATGATTTGTCTGTGCATAGATTTATACTGACTTCTTTATAGCAGACTGACAAGTAGGGGACTTTTAAAGAGATTAGTCTGTCTTGTGTTGCACCCAATAATTCAGAATATTAAACTAAGGTCTGGCTTATTCAGTCCCCACACACTATCTAAATTTCCTTTTTATTGTCAAGTATATGATTAACACAAGGAACTTTTTTTTTCTCACCCACCCCCAAAGTAGTTCAAGTTACAAAAATCAAGAAGTTTAGATAGTTTCTCCTGCTTTCATAGGTAGCTTTTAAAATGAGCTGGGTTACTGGTCACCAAATTACGTAAGGGTCAGAAATGCATTCTTTTCATAATGTTCTACAAGATGGACCCATAGGCGTGCATTCTTTTCATAATGTTCAACAAAATAGACTCATTCTACTATTTCTAAATTGATAACACCAAGTTCTGGCAAAAGGACATATTGAGTTCGCATGGCAGGTTGACCCAGTGTTGTTGGAGGGGTCACTGCATTTGGCTTGTCTTTTTCCCCTCTGCCTAGCAAACATGACCTACTATGCCACTGATACTCAGACACCTTTCATTTCTGGTAGAGTTCTGGTGAGGAGGATCCTCTGGCCGAACCAAGATTATCTACCAAGAATTCTGTGGTGAAGTGTGACTCCAGACTTCCAGCAATCGACCAAACATCCGTCAAGCAGAAACATAAAAGTACCATGACTACAAGGAAACCAGAGAGAGTGGGCCCCAGCAAACCCTCTTCAGGTGACTGCTGGTTTGTTAAAATTCACAAATTCTAAAATCCTAGTATTAAAGCTAACCACAACAATCAAATCAGTGATGTTGGTGACATCCGGTGTTTTCCAAGTGGCTAAAACACCCGGTGTTTTGGGGGGTCTGATGATCTTATACAAATGCTAAAATTCATTTCAGAGTAGAATTATTAGAACAAGGTGGCGTGAATTATGCAGAGTAACTGTCTCCACTGCCAGCATTTTCTGCCCAATCATTGGCTTTGTGTGGCACTGGCCTAGAATTGCCGCCTTTTCATCTCCTTCATCCTTCTGGGGGGATAAAGGCATTTGGCCCCAGGTATCAAGTTTTATGACTCAAGCAAGAGCATGAAGAGAAGCTTTCACAAGCATCTGAATGGCATAATTTATAGCCGAGAAAGAGAGCAATAAAGTCCTCAACTTCTGGGGTTGTTCTCTCGGGGAGAAAAGGGGCTTGATAAATTCTCCCTTTTGTGCAATTTGGTAAATAATTCACTCTTTAGCTGCCTTTGAAGCAAACACCAGTCCTCTGCTTGGGGCAGGAGTGATTTAATAGTGTCCAGAAAGGGAATAAATTCAACTGAATGTTTACAGTCCCCCAGGCTCATCCCCATCAAAGCCAACCTCCATAGGACAAACTCAATTCTTCTGGGAACTGAGGTCCAAGTTGGGATAACTGGGCAGAAAGGTCTGCCTTCTGTTTACAGTGGAGTGGAAACGATCCAAATTAACTGCTGGAGAATTCGTCAATAGTGTGCAATTCACTTACACCCTAATCACAACTACTTTCTAATCCTAAATACCTCCTGTCATGCAACCACCCGTCCAGTTGTCTTAATGCATTTTCAGAAAATGGCAGCTGTCTATTAACTCCCCACCACACACACACACACATTTTATTGCTTTCATGAAGTTAAAAAGAAAAAATTGACTTCTGAAATGAAGTTCGTTCAGGCAAAGCCCCAACTCTTTTTCCATATTTAATCAGGGGAGCGTATCCTCATAGTTAATTTCTCATTTTGAAGATTTTTAGTGGGAATTGGGTTTTTAATTCAGCTGTTTAAGAATGAAATAGGGCAGATAAGATCATTCCCCAAATATTTCAAAATACATGTTGTAAATTATTGATTTGAGGATGTTTTTGATAGAAAAAAACATTGAATTTAAGTTTAAATAATGCAACTCCATTCACGCGACATAATGTTTAGCCTTCTTGCTAAAACTGCATAGCTATTCACACGGTACGCTTTGTCATCTGGGGAGAAAAATTACTAAAATGAACAGTGCAGGCCCACTCAATGATTTTAGCTTGTCTGATTAATACAGATGTGAGTTCTCCATATGGAGCTTACAACACTGACAAAAAAGGATGAATTAATTCACTTTACATTCTATAAAACATAAATCTGAAGAATTACTAGATTGGAAAACACCAAGGTGTAGGCAAGAGAGCCAAGTTGGCAGGAAGATATCTCTTTCATCAAAGGAGGGATGTTACTTGTAGTAAAAGCCTTTAAAAATGACCAGCCTTAGCATCATATTATGGCCCCAGACCATGTCTAAGGCCCATGCCGCCGTGAGTTGGACTGTGGCCTTGGTTGTCCTGCGAGGGTAGCGGTCCTGGTGACTGATAACAGTTGTGCAGCAAACTGGACTGATTATGAAGTTGGTTAAAAGCAAAGCTTTAGTGTGTGAAGATCCATGTGATTTACACGTGTAGACTCATCGCCAGAGTTCCTTAATTAGCAGAACAAAAGGAGAGCCCAGAGACAGGGTGAGAATTGAAGCTGAGTCTGTCCAGGAAAAGTCCAGCTGACCGGTGGTGACAACTCAGAAAAATCAGATAAGTACCCTGCTATTACAGGAGGGGAAAAAAAAAAAAGGATTTGAGACCTGAAGTATCTGGACATGTTGATCCAATTCACTAGATGAATTTATAGTTTCCTGCTTTTCTTCACCCCTGTAGAGAAAGATTTTCCTAAAGCATTTTGGGGGCAATCCGAAGTTGGCAGTGAGTCACCAAACTTCTTCCCATGTCAGACCTCAGGTTCCGTGCAAAACTGAGGCATCAAACACAGTGAAATCCCTTCGCAACATCTGCCTGGTAGCATAACATCCATACCGTCTTATGCCAGACTTTTACTGAATGCATTAACGTAGCTGGGGGACGTGGCTTGATTTACACTGACTTACAAATCTATGTAACGATGACCCGTGTCATAGTTTTTCCTTATATGTGAACTGCCATCAAGAACCCCTAAAATGGCTATGTAAATATAGGAACTATCAATCTCTACAAATAGATTGATAACTGAGAAGGCGTCAGATTTTCTTTATTCTTCACACTCTATTAGAAGGAATTCACGCATTTTAAATTAAGCTCCTATATTCCAGGGAACTGTTTCTAAATGAGCTGGCTTGTGTTTCTCCTTGCTCTCTCTCTCTCTATGCAGTGTGGGGTGTGCGGTTTATGGGTGAGCAAGTGCTTTGGAGTCAAAATGCTTACACAAGGACCTGGGCCCCATTTCTTATTTGCTATGTACCTCTGGGCAAGTACCTTCTCTGTGCCTCAATTTCCTCATCTGTAAAATGGGGGGAGTGTGTGAAAACAGATCCTACCTGCTAGGATTGCTATGATGATTCAATGATAAAACGTATGCTCAGCTGTTAGAATAGTGTCTGCCAACATAAGCCCTCGATACAGTATAGCATTATGAATAAAGCACATGAGAGCTGCATTTCATAGGAAGAATGAACTACAAAACTTTGTTTTCTTTGTCTTACTGTTGTCTCCCTCTCCCTAATCTTTTTCTCCTTTGCCAAAGATCCGAGTTATATTTTTAAAATCCTACACAAATGCAGGTATAGACACTACACCCTGAATTTCCAGGGCAAAACACCAAATGGGAAAAGATGAATAGCCAGAAAGCATTTACCAAGCCAGAGCTTTGCTTTATCTCCAAAAAGACATGGAAAATCCAGGCAGAGTGAAGACCCAGCTGGTCTGATGTGCAAACCGATTCAGAAATCCTATTTCATGATCAAGGTGAATGCTGACACAGGGTGAGAAGTCAGCCTAGCAGAGTTACACATTCTTATTTCAGAATCCTGTATGGCTCCGTGAGAAGCAGAGCAGTCAGCAGGCTCAGCGGCTATAGGAACACAGGGAAGTACAGAAAGCGATGGTGGCCTCCGGCTCCTGGACCTCTCCTGCTCCCCAGGCCCCTTGCAGCCCAAGCCTCATTTGGAAAGGAGCCACCTCTCCTATCCAGTTATTAGAGGCATCCAAGGCCATTGTTCTGTGGGGTTCTGGCTCCTGGAGTCCTAAAGCGCTCTCTACCCCAGTGCCAGGCACATGGGAGGCAAGGGTGCCCTCTCCTGCCATCTCCTCTTACCTAGAGCTTGGGCATAGTCCCCTAGTTCTACGCCAGGAAAACGGATCTGGATGGAGTCCTGGTAGCCTACTTCCAAAATCTTGCCCTTTAAAACAAAGCCAAGCATTCTGAAATTATCCTCACTTATTACTGAGTTCAATGTTAGTTATTACTGCACTCAGATTTGTAAGAGCAGCAAAACCTAATAATGGCTTATCATGAAGACATGTTCTTATAAAACCAAGGAAAAGCAGAGAATTCAGATCTATAAAGATAAACATCTAAAATAACTCTATTGAATTCAGAACTATCTGTTGGAAGAGCAGATTGGAAAAGAAATTTGAGGCAAATCCCTAAATCTTCACAACTTGCCTTGCAAATAGATGCTGATGAAGATTTTCTCTGAAAGGTCAAGATTAATGGCCAGTCCGCTCGTGTTCAACAAGTTCCAAGCTATCTGCCCAAGTCAGAAAACAACCAACATAAGTAAATGTCCCCGTTCTTATACAGATAACCATACTTCTCAGTCCATTTACGGTAACGCTTCCAAGACAGAGGGGCTCAGGGGTGTTACAGAGCCCAGAATTTGAGGTCCTGGCTCAGAATCCTAATCGACTACTTTGTAGCCCTATAAACGTGGACTGGCAACTTCTCCAAACACAGTTTCCTCATCAGCAAAATGGAGTTATTACCTGCCTCATCAGGTAGACAGGAGAACTAAAATTCTGGGCATAGACTGGAACGTAGGTAAAGGTTAATCCCTAGTCCTCCCTCTGGGAGCAGCTAACCTGCTGCCCTCAGGTTAGCATCTTTACAAGAGACATTGTAGTTTGAGACATAAGAGCGGTTATAGCTTGATTATGAAATATTTTAACTATTTGGTTATCAGTGAAGACAACCACTTATCCAGTATCTGTGGGATGCTAGCAAATCCGTTCACCTGCCCCCACTGTCCCAGGGTATATAACAGCAGGGTGCACAAGTTTGCTCACCCGTCACTCATTCATTCAGTACTTCAGCGTTCATTTACTGCATGCTTACCTGCCAGCCACTGCATGGGTCCCGGGGATACAGAAATAAAACACATAGGACCTGCCCTCCAGGGGCCCACAGCCTAGTGGGAGGGCAGGACGCCAACACGCCCTGACCAAGGTAAGTTCTAAGAGCTTTGGGTACGGTGAGTGGGGTGAGCATCCTGGAGGACAAGGCATTTAGCCAGGGGAGGAAGGCAAGGATGATGTGCCCAGCAGGATGCACTGAGTGTGCAAAGGCATGGAGGAGAGAGAGGCAAGGAAGAGGGCAAGAGAGAGGCTGACAGGCAGACATCGAGGAACTACAAATCGTCTAGGGCCTTGTGTCTCCAAGTGTCCCCAGACTACGAGCAGAGGCATCACCTGAGAGCTTGTTATTAGATGCAGAACCTCGTGTCCCAGCCCAGACTTACTGAATCAGAACCTGCCCTTCACAAGATCCCTGCACATTTACGTTTCAGATGCTCTGATTTAGGGTCAGGCTACAAATCAGAAAGTGTAGGGTCTAAAGTTGACACCCTCTAGGTGGGCAAGGTCCGAGTCCTCAAGG